GTGGGCATTGTGTCAGCAGGCGGTTGTGTATTCGTCGCCTGGGGCGCAATCTATGGCTGCAACATGCCGCAACCAACAGCAGGCCGTTTCATATTCGGTCGGTGAAGGCGCAGCCGATGGCGCAACCCATGGTGCACCATTTGGATGGCGCAGCCTATGGCGCAGCCTGCGGCAGAACGAATGGAGCAACCCATGGATGGCGCTGCCAATGGCGCTATCCATGGATAGCGCAACCTGTACTACAGCCCACGAATCGCGCAACCCAACGGCGCACACCAATAGCCCAACCCAGGGATGGCGCAACCTCTGGCGCAAACAATGTGGGTGTCGCAACCTGTGGCGCAACCCATGGGTGACGCACCCCCTGCCAGTTTCTACGGGGCTTCGCCCGATTCATGCTCGCCGCTCGGGCAGGCAGCGGGGACCAGGCGGCGAGCTGCCTTGTGATCCACTTCGGCCGTGTATCGAGATGCCCCTTCCCCCCCCCTCCGAGGTTCGCCGTGCTCTGTAATGTACGATGGAGGGTTGTCCCGCTGAGAGCCGTGCTCTTCGGGCCCTTGCGCTCGGTGAGGTGGAGCCAGGGTATTACTGAACCCGGCGCGAAGCCCAATTCGGGAAACGTATTCGAAGCGACATTGTCTGACATTGCATGGAGTTGCTTGGCGCTGCTTGGCGTTGCATTGTTTTGAGTTGTTGTTTCGTCGCTTAGCGTTGCTTGGTATTACTTCGCATTGTTTGGCATTGCTTAACGTTGCTTAGCGTGGCTTGGCCTTGCTTGGCATTTCTCGGCGTTGCTTTGCATTGCTTGGCGTTGTTGGACATAGTTGCGCAGAGCTTGGTTGGGGAAAGATCATGATGCCCACATCCTGGTATCCCGCCTCCTCCCCCTCCCCCTCCACTGAGGATACTTCTCCTTCTCCGCCTCCTTCCCGTCCTCCTCCTCCTCCTCCTTTTTCTTCCTCTTCTGCCCCCCCTCCTCATTCATAATGGGTCGTCCTGCACTTCCTTATTACTCTCGACGTCCTCGCCTCCTCGTCGACGGACGACCCTCCCGCCCTCTCCGCTTCTGGGTTTTCGGCCCCCCCCCTCTCGTCCACGGGATGGATCGACTTCGACACCTTTGTCAGCACGCGCCTCTGGACAAGTACAGGGGTCTCCTCCTGCTGCTCCTCCTCGTGTCTCTTAATTGTCCCCCCCCCCCTCCTCGTCAACCTCCTCGCTCCCTCCCCTCCTCAACCCCATCATTCCGATTCTCCCCCTCGCTCCTTCTCTCCTCCCCCACCGCTTCGAAGTCTTCGGATCTCTCCGGAGGTCCCAGGAGGCGTGCTGAGTCCGCGTTAAATGCAGGTGCGTCACACACATCGGCCCTCGAATCCCAAACCTCCACCTCATCATTGTTCCTCCTCCTCCTCCTCGTCCTCCTCCTCCTCCTCCTCCTCCTCCTCCTCCTCTTGTCTCCCGTTCCTCCTCCTCCTCCCCCTCCACTCCTCCTCCCCCCCCACCAGCGCTACCCCGACACGGACGACCGCGTGCTCACATGCCAGGGCCCCTCCGTCGACGCGCTCGCCGAGGTGGCCGTGCAGATAGTATCGAAGGTCGCCGAGTGCGCGCAGCAGACCCCGTCCGACGCGGTGGGGGAGGTCCGTCCGCCGCTGCCAACGCCAGACGAGGGACAACGGACGATGACCCTCCTCGTCCTCCTCCTTTTCCTCCTCCTCCTCCTCCTCCTCCTCCTCCTCCTCCTCCTCCTCCTCCTCCTCCTCCTCCTCCTCCTCCTCCTCCTCCTCCCTCGTCCTCCTCCTAATCCTCCCTCCTCCTCTTATGCGGCGCGGCAAGGGCGCGGGCTTGGGAGGCGCGGAGGGCGCTCGCGGCACGCGCGCGCCTGCGGGGCTGCTGCCTCCGCCGCCTGGTCGTCCTCGGGTCCCGGGTCCGCCGTGACCCCGCCCCCGTCGCGATCATCCTGGCTGGCTTCGTTGACCCCGCCATTCCTCGGGGGCGGAAAAGAGGGGGGTGATGACTAGGGGGGGGTGGATATCATGGTGGGGGCCATGATATTTCCCCAGATCTCATGGCGCCTCTTCTTATTTCACTACGTCCCTGGCCCCCCCGCTGGGCCGCGCACATGCCGCCGGTCATGATTTGCACTCCCCCCTCTTGGACGCCCCCCTCTTTGCCGCTCCCGAATTCCTCGGATGGGGAAAGGGTGCCCAGGCCGCCACCCTTCGCTCGCTTTCTCCTGTTCTTGGGCCTCCTGGGCGGCCCTCGTCGCCACGACCAGATTCGCTTCAGAATCCTGGCTCGAGGAGCGCACCTCAGGAGAGGTCCAGAGCGCATCGGTGTCGGCACCTTTCGGTCTCCCCCAATGCGAGGCCGGCCCCGCCCTGCTGGCCCGTACCTCCGCCTAGACCTCGCCCCCAGTCGGTGCGAGCTGGAGCGGGCCCGAGGGCACCCAGCCGCGGCCCAGGGCGTCGACCGCCGCGAAGGCAGGCGGTCCCGCCGGGCCGCCCCGGGAGGTCGGAATCTGCAGGCCAGGATCCCCAAGGGCTTGACGACGCTTCGCCAGTCGACTTTGTGGGGGTCGAGCCAGCTATACATCCATGGCAGGTGCAGGCAGGTCGAGGCAGATCCCGGCAGAGCTGGGCAGGTCCGGGTCAATCCAGGCGAATGCAGAGATCTCCAGGGGAAGCTGCGGCAGATCGCGGCCGCTCCAGCGCGAGGCGAGGGACGGCTGCAGCCGGTAAGCCCTTGAGGACAGGAATTGTCAGGTCCAGCGGGAGAGCACGAGTGATGGGGAGTACACGCCGGTCGTTGAAAGTAGGTACTTTTGGATCCCCAGATCTCAATCTATTTCAAGTGCCTTCCTACTTCCGGAATCGACACGCTTTTGCTGTGTTTTGTTATGCCCTGGGGGGGCCTGGACCCAATCAACTTGATCCGCCTTCCTGCTTCATGTTTTTTTACCTACTTCTTCCGACCGACGTGTACTTCGACCCGTGGCAGATCTCTCGGGCGGGCCATTTTCTCGATTCAAGGGGCTTGCGCCATTCGACCCCCAGATGACAAACGAAGTCCACGGGTGTGCCCTCTTGTGGCTGTTGCGATTGTTGGGAAGGCTCCCTGGGGGTCTTCGGGTCGTCTTGGGGGCCTCGTGGGGACCATTGGGGGACCTTTTCCGGTACCCTGGGAGGCCGGTTGGGGCCTTCGGAGGCGCCTGCTGGCGGTCTTGGGCGTCCGCTTGGGGCGGGGGGCTCGAAATGTCAGAGTGACCCCTCTTGGGCCAGCTTGGGCGACTCTTGGGCAGTCTTGGGGCCCTCTTGGGCCGTCTTGGGGTCATCTTAAGGGCTTCTTGGGCAGTCTTGGAGCGATCTCGGGGGCCCTTTGGAGCAGTCTTGGACGTTGTTGAGACCGACGGGGCGCACGTGCTAACACACATACGCTGCCCGTGGGACGGGCTTTGCCTCTCGGGGGTCCTCTTGGAGCCGTCGTGGGGCGTCTTGGAGGCCGCTTGGACAGTCTTGCAGCGATCTTGGTTGTGTTTGAGCTTTCCTCTGCGTGTTGGATCCCAGCCTGAGTCAGCTAAGATGGCACCCTGGGCATCTTGGAGGACACGGAGTGTAGACTTGGAGGCTCTGGAGGCCCAGGGAGGGCGTGTGGGAGCCGAGGGACCCTTCCCTCCCTTTGAACGCGAATTTGGACACTGGGGGAGGGGGACAGCACTGTCCCACACGCCTTGTCACCCCTGGCATGCGTGGATCGGCGGAGTTACCAGGAATGCCCCCCGTTTCTGGGGCATTTAGACGTCGGACGACGACGACGACGACGACGACGGCAGACGACAGACGACAGACGACCGACGGCAGACGACCGACGACTGGCGGCCGACGGTCGACGACCGACGACCAACGACCGACGACCGACGACCGAGGACCGACGACGGACGACGGACGTCGGATGACGGACGAATGCGGACGACAATGGATGACAGCGGACGACAACGGACGACAACGAAGGACAACAGCGGTCGACGACGACGGCGGCGGTTGCGACGACGACGACGACGAAAACGACGACGACGACGACGACGACGTTCGACAGCGGCGACGTCGACGATGGCCGACGGCGCTGACGACGACGATCAGGTTTTTGGGGACTTTTTTGGGGGCACTCCTGGACCTTCAGCCCCCGCCAAACCGTCCCCTGTCTACCTCCATCCAGCGGAGGGCAACAATTGCCGCTGTCGGCGCCGCTGCCGCTGCCACCGCCGTCGTCTTTGTCACCGTCGTCCTCTACCTCATCCCTCCTCCTCCTCCTCCTCCTCCTCCTCTTTGTCCTCCTCCTCCTCCTCTTTGTCCTCCTCCTCCTCCTCGTTCATGTCGTGATAGATCTGTGCCTCCTCGCTCTCGCGTTGCAAGAGCAAGCAAAGGCACATCCGTAGCAGAAGCAGTAGCAGTGAAGAGGTAATAAGAGAAGTAGTCATCGTCGCTGAAATCGCATTGCCAGCAGCAGCAGCAATTGTCGTCGCTCGTTTTCGTCCGCCGCCGCCGCAGGCGCCTGGCTGAGGAGGAGCAGGAGGGAAGATGAGCTCAACTTTCTCGCACTCCTTGAATGCCCTCTGTGGCAGGGGGAGCCTCGAGGTCGCCACGGCTGGATCCGCCTCAAGATCGTCGTCAGAGCGAGCTCCGGGTCGTGGCCCAAGATTCCGCCAATGCAATGTGGCCACGGATCCTGGTGGAGATCGCCCCCCAGCCCAGCCAGGAGGCCATATCCAACTATGCAGATCTGGTTCCCCCGACACGAGCCACGGGAGCCTCGGTGGGTCTCCGTGCTTTGGCTTGCCACATGCTGCCATCGGTGCAACATGGACGTCGAAGGGCTCTGCATCCTAGTCGTCCTCGTCGTCCTCGTCGTCCTCGTCGTCGTCGTCATTGACTGTGTCGGTCGGATCCCCCGTTTCCCCAAGGTCGGTCAGCTTAGGCTCCGCACGCTCATGCCGAAGGCGGCGGTCGGGGGCATCATCGGCAGGGGCGGTGCTGCCATAAAGCAGCTCCGCGAGGCCACGATTTGGGGGCAGGAGGAGGACGTGGAGGTGATGTAGGCGGCGGAGACTGAGGAGAAGGAGGAGGGAGGAGGAGAGGGGAGGAGCGGGAAGGGGGAGGAACAAGGAGAGGAGGAGGAAGGGGGAGGAGAAGGAGGAGGAAAAACACATGGAGGAGGAGGGTAGTGGGACCAACGGGGAGCTTACCCACCCGTACATGGATACGTCGCCGATCGTACCCTGGCGAGTCTTTCAACGAGCCCTGGCTCTACCTGTTACTTACGGTGTATCGGGTGGGGCCAGCGGAGCCGCACCCGCACTCTAGGCCTTGGCTGCGTGGGGCGCCGTTTTACTCTTGTATAGCTGCGCGAACGCGCCCCGTCTCGGTGCCCGTTGCCGCGCCCCCATGCCCCTTGCCACCCTGGGGGGAGGAGGGGCGGGAGGAGGAGGGAAGGGTGCGAAGGACGGAGGAGGAGGGCTGGGGAGGAGGAGGAGCGAGGGGTGAGGAGGACGGGGGAGGAAGGGCTGAGGAGGTTGGGAAGGAGAAGGAGGAGGATGGGACAGGAGGGCACGGGAGGAAGACGAGGAGGACGACGGGGAGAAGGGGGAGGAGGCGGAGGAGGAGGCGGAGGAGGAGGAGGAGGACAAGAGGGAGTTGGTGGGGACGCGGAGGAGGCAGCCATCGAGGAGGAGGAGGAGGAGGAGGAGGAGGAGGAGGAAGAGAAGGGTGCGATTGCCGCGGGGCCGCCCGCACGAGGCCAGCGGCGCCAAGGTCAACATCGCCGATCCCAACGGCCAGGGCCCTGGCGCCGAGCAGGCCGCCGCCTCGGCGTCTGCTTTGTCCCGCCACGGGCACCATTGGTAGCTCCGCGGTCGGCGACGTCGCGGGCCCCCGCCGCCTCTCGTTGCGGAAAGAACTCACGGCGAGAGTGTTTTTTTCCGTGTGTTCCACGTTTTGCCTCAGGGAGGCCTCCCTGAGCCCCAAGGATTTGCACGATGATCCGGCGTCCAGGCTTCCAGGGACGGCGTCCAGACTTCCAGGGGTCGACGTTTTGAACGATCACGGAGTTGGAGATCCTGGGGGTGTTCGAAGGATTGTTCTGGTTTCCTTTCGGTTTTCGGGCCTGGGTGGTTCTCATCAGCTCCGCCTCGTCGAAGGCTTTCCAGGGAGCCCAGAGCCGTCCCGAAGAACACCCTGTGACCCGAATCGTCGGAGGGACTGGCCAACCAAGTGCCTTGGCACTGCCACCGACCAGGCCAGTTTTGGGCAAAGGGCCATTGCCGTACACACTCTGGGTAGAGCCAGGGAGATCTACAGTCCGATCCTCCTCCCAGTGTCGGCCTCGCCGCACCTGCGCTTGCATGCAGCACAATCTGTTGGCGCCCACCTGTGTGACGAGCGCTGCGGTGCTCTCGGTGGTGCGATCGGTCGGCGTCATCGGCCGGGATATCGGGCCAACAGTGCGTGAGGTCATCTCGTTGGCAGGCAGCGAGGAGGCCTTGGAGTTCTGCCTGGCCGAGATCAACAGGCAGGTCCAGGCCGTGAGCGAGGAGCCTTGGTGGCTGGATTGGGCTGAGGACCGCCGCTCCTGCTCGGCTGCCAGGGCTCCTCCCCCAGCTTTGTTCGCCCTGTTCGTGCTGCTGTTCCCCCGCATCCTCCTCCTCCTCCTCCTGCTCCTGCTCCAGGGGCAACTCTGGCCCAGGTGGCGCGCCAGCTCCGACCACGCCTCCGCTCAGTGAAAACCATGTGAGCAGGCTGCCCACAGGCTTGCAGCGGGGCTGGGCCAGCTCGGGCCAGGGAGCCCGCATGGTCACGCATCTTCTTTGGTTTCTGCGGGTGAAGATTATCTACCACAACATACGGCGCATTTTCCTGGATATTGGAAAAGGTTGTAAAGCACAAGGACGAACGACGTTGTCATATCCACTGGCACGGGCAAGGCGGTTTCGATTGACGCGGAGGTCACCCAGTGCCAATGGCCATACCACAAAACCATACAGTTCGGATGGCGAAAAGTAGCGCACTGTCAATAGAAACTGTGGGTTAGCTGTCGCGTACGGCGAGAAGCTCTACGGCACGGCTTCGGCGATCCAGGCGCCGCCCCGCTCAAAAAAATGAACTGGCAGACCTGGACTTATGAACTTCCACCTTGAAGGTATGGGTTTGGCGACTTCTGCGATTTACTTGCCGCTAAAAAGCACCACGGTCAAGGTTTTGTGCAGCAGCGTGACAGCGGCACTCTCATGGGCACAGTACGACATGGATCGCACGAGCAGCAATTGATTGCTTTTGAGTATTGGAGAGCTGAGTTGTATATCTGGAGTAAGAACAGACCTGACTGGTCGTAAGTGCGTGAAGGAGAGCGACGAGAAGGATTTTTTCCATGGTGAGAGAATAGCAGCGCCCCGCAAGTGCGGATAGGAGTGAGGGGGCGGGCGCGGGTGACGCGGGCGTCGAGCCGGAGGACCTCGTGGCCTTCACCTTCCCTGTCGATGGCGCCCTCCTCCTGCTGCTCCTCCTCCTCTTTCTCGTGATTCGTGTGCTGTGGCAAGTTCAGCGCGGAAGGGATCGCTGGTGGGCCACCCGGAACGAATGCAACAACAGCCCGCCGCAGGCGCCGAAATTTTGGCTTGTTCAGTGAACGTGGTTTGGGTCGTGGGTGTGTCGCGGGCTCTCCACCTCCACCTGGGAGGAATTCAAAAACAGCCCGCCGCAGGCGCCGAACATTTTGATTTGCACACTGAACGCGGTTTGGGTCGCAGGTTCTCCACCTGGAACGAATGCAAAAACATCCCGCCGCAGGCGCCGATTATTTTTTTGGTTTGTTCAGTGAACGCAGTTTAGGTCGCGGGTGTGTCGCGGGTTCTGCACCTCCACCTGGAAGGAATTCAAAATCAGCCCGCCGCAGGCGCCGAACATTTAGATTTGCACACTGAGCGCGGTTTGGGTCGCAGGTTCTCCAGCCGGAACGAATGCAAAAGAAACCCACCGTAGGCGCCGAACTTCTAGCTTGTTCAGTGAACGTAGTTTGGGTCGCGGGTGTGTCGCGGGCTCTCCACCTCCACCTGGAAGGAATTCAAAAACAGCCCGCCGCAGGCGTCGAACATTTTGATTTGCACACTGAACGCGGTTTGGGTCGCGGGTGTTTCGCATGTTCCCCACCTCGAACGACTGCAAAAAAAGCCCGCCGAAGGCGCCGAACATTTTGGATGTGTCGCGGGGTGGGTCGCGGGTGGGTCGCGGGTGGGTCGCGGTGGGTCGCGGGTGGGTCGCGGGCGCGAGTGGGTCGCAGGTTCTCCACTTGGAACGAATGCGAAAGAAACCCGCCGCAGGCGCCGAACATTTTGGGTGGGTCGCGGGTGGGTCGCGGGTGGGTCGCGGGTGGGTCGTTGGTGGGTCGCGGGTGGGTCGCGGGGTGGGTCGCGGGTGGGTCGCGGGCAGGTCGCGGGTGGGTCGCGTGTGGGCCGCCGGGTGGGTCTCGGGGTGGGTCGCGGGCGGGTCGCGGGGTGGGTCGCGGGTGGGTCGCAAGTGGGTCACGGGTGGGTCGCGGGGTGGGTCGTGGGTGGGTCGCGGGTTGGGTCGAGGGTGGGTCGCGGGTGGGTCGCGGGGTGTGTCGCGGGTGGGTCGCGGGGCGGGTCGCGGGCGGGACGACCACAACAAACAACAAACAACAACAAACAACAACAAACAACAACAATAACTACAACAACAGCAACAACAATAATCCGCATCGCGGAATTCCACTTCAGCCAGGCACCCAGGGACAGTGAATGACCGTTCGGTTCAGCCCCCTCACTCTGACGAATCGGATAACCACTTCGCGGCAGCGGCCGCTGGAACAACATTCCCCCGGGCGCGCACAAGAGCAAAGTATATCACATCATTCTGCCCCAGACCGCCTTGCCCAACGTCCGCATGCTGCATGCATTCCGCGCTTTTTATCCCGCGGATGACAGCGACATGTGTCCACGCACTTGCATGATCATGTGCCAGTGCTTGTCGACATGGACATTTTTGCTCGCAGAGCTCACCGAGCGCATTCCGCAACCCCTGCCAACAGGAATTCTTATGTTGGCGACCAATTCTGAATGATAGCGCGCTCAACACATCGAGGTCGGGAGATGTGCAAAGGACGTGGCGCAATCTCGCAGAGCACGCGCGTGACGGCATGCCTGTTCTCCACCCAAGAGAACACCATCATTGATTACGGGGTGTTGCGCGAGCAGATGATGCAGTTGATACGTGATGTGCGAGCAAAGAACCCACAGCGCAGGCAGTCTAAGCTTCGTGGGCGCTGGCTCGAGCGAGTTCGACAGGACAGAGACCGCCGTCACTTCATTTCGAGGCGCATGCAGGGATCTAGTCGCCCGCAGAAGTCGGAGATAACGAGCGTCATCTTTGAGGATATTCGGGAATCGTGGCGCAAAGGGCGCACGGCAGAGATGCGCAGGTTGGGGGTCGCTTTTGCTTGTGCTGGCAGGGGCCCAGAGCAACATCAACAAAAACGCTTTCTCTTTTCCCCGAGGCAGACGATGACGACGGCAGGGTGGGAAAGCAGAATCGATCGCGGCCCGCAAGATGGTTGGGGCGAAGTGCACCCTTGGCAAGACTGGATATCGCATCGGAGCTCCCTGCCGCGCATGCGCCAGCCTCCTGAACTCGCGGAGTTAGTGCGCATCGACAGAATGGGACTGAGGGCACTTACGACGTCCACCTGAACGACGGGCCGGTCCGTCTCGGGGAGCGTTTGCAGCGGCCCTCGCCGTGCGCGCCGATTTCCGCGCGCGTCGTTTTCCCAGCGTCGCACTTTCGCCCTTGAAATTGTTCGAGGAAGTGCAACGACAAGCTCGCCCTTCATTAACATCGTCGATTTCGCCCCGCTTTCGACGCGGCGCTCGCAGTCGTTCGCGCAGGCGGAGAACAACGGCAATTTTGGCATTGGCAGTCAGCGCGCCCCGCGCTAGTCCGAGGCGCTTGGCATGTCGCATGTGGGGTGCCATCGTAGAACGAGCCGCCGCCCCGACCCCCCCCCTCCTGCGATTTCGCACCTGGAGGGCCGCGAGAGAGAAGGAGCGAGGGGCGCGCCCCAGCTGCCAGCCGGAGATGCCAAGTTTACATGCCGAGCTGGAAGGCTTTGCCCCGCGATTTCGAATTTCGACGACGCGAGCGCGTTTGCTTGCGCCGGGCGAGCAGCGCTGCGAGCACTCCGCGCACGGCGCGGCCGCCGTGAAAACGTCGCGCTTTTAGACCAGGCTGTAGATGCGGCTACCGTGCGCGCCGCGGGAAAAGACGGGGGGTTCGACGTGCGCCGTGGCATTGGGACCACGATGGGGCTTTCGATGGCGGCTGGAGACATCGTGGATGCGCGCCCCCCCCCCGCCCGCTAGATGGAACGACGAGTTAGAAACGCTCACGACAGTTATGCGTGGTTTTCGGAGCTGGCTGTTACTGACAGGCAAGGTTTTGTTGACGTAGGCAGCGGGCTCTTTGTCGACGACGTCACGCGGCTCCACGCACATGCTCACCCAGTGCAGGCACACCAGATGCGCAGAAACTTAATCACGCAACTCGCAAACTGCTAGATCATGTAAATGCAAAGGGGCTGCGTCTAAGCGCGGACAAGACCAACCACCCCATCTCTTTGCCGGGGGGCTTTTTTTCTGCCGACTGCCAAGGGCCCCTCCAGGGGCAAGTTTCTTCATGGTACGGTTTGCAGTGAAAAATGGGCGTCTGGGTCCATGCTGGGCTTCCACGGCAAGCTCCGCACGGAGCCATGCGACAGTGTTTGGCAGGGCCTGAAACGCATCGATATTTTTCGGCGACGCTCGGCGCCGGCCATATGGTCATCAGCATCGCCGCGCGTTGTCCTCATGTTTCGCGCGCGTCGCGGGCGTCGCAGCGGCGGCCTTTGTCTTGCCGCGCGAATTCACGCAGGCGCTGCGCGCGCCTCGCGCGCGGGAAGGCTAAGCCGCAGTAAGTGTGTCGGGCCCGAACGCTCAGCAACCGACGAATTTTGGGATGCTGGAACACATGCGACGCTGCGACAGAACTTCGAGTGCAGAGGTCCCATTGGTACCGGGCCACGGCGCGGCACCCAGATGCTGATGGTGATGGTCCCTGTGGAACGACCGCCAGGTGCTGACGGCCATTCCTGGCACCGCCGAGCTCGACCGTCAGCTTGGGCGGCCGCGCCTCGCTTTTAGAGACCGCCTTGCGAAGTGCGGCGCTCCTTGGGCGCGTCAGTGCGCGCGGGGCTTTCGGTCGCTGGCCCGATCTGGCACTTCTCTTGGTTTTGATTGCCACGATGAAAAGAACGCCTTCACCTTTTTCAACGACCGCGCCCTCGCCCTCGCGTTCGCCGCGCGCGGCGTCGCCCCGAACAGACATTTTGTTAAACCGCCGCAGCAGCCGAACTGGGGCGATTGAGAAGACTGGCTGGGCCCGCGGCAGACGAGGAGGACATGGGGGGGCGCGGCCGCCGCATCGCAGGGCAGTAAGATCGAGATGACACGAACAGCGAGCGCAGCGCGATCGACGGTGACCTCGTGGAATACATCACGCGAGACACAGCGAGCTCGCGCGAGAGCTCACGCATTCACATCGCGCGATACATGTGCACCCCGTGCTTATCATCACAAACGCATGCCCATGGTGTCGCGCAGCATTTGCCTCGCGTGCTTCACCCCTGCGGCGCTGCCTCGCAGTGGAAAAGCGGGGGCCCGTGCCTGCCCCGCTCGACGCGCGGCCGTCGCATTTCGGCCCCTCGGGTCTCCTTCTTTCTCGCGCGGAAATTGCTCCGCTGAGCGCGCTGAACTACGCGAGCATTGGAATCGCGTCCGCGCGTGCGCCGAGGGCCCAGATGGCGCGGAGGGCGGCAGCAGACGACGGGAGGGCGCGCGGTCCTGCGGACGCGGGGGGGGGGGGGGGGGGCTTAGCCGCCGCAGAAGCGCGCCCGCGGCGATCCGAAGAAGCAAGCTGGCAAGTCCGATGGCTGGCGGCGCGCGGCGAGGAAGCACTCGCCAAGGGAAAACTCACACTCAACTGCGCCCAACAGATCAGGGCAATCTCAGGCAGCCTGCGGGACTTCCTCTTTCTGGCGGAGAACGTGGATCACGCGCCGATGCCGGCCAGGGCCAACGCAGGGCGGAGCGCAGCTAGAAAAAGGGGGGAAGGCTTTAGGGGGGGCGCGCTTGCACGTGGCAGTGGATTTCCTGGTGGCGCTTGGCCACGTGCCAGAGCTCCCGCGATGCGCCGCACCCATGCAGACTTGAAGATGCTGAGCCTCGTCATCGACCTGATTGGATACGAGCTGGCGGCCCCAGTTCGCTACGCGAGGGCGAAGAAAGCCTGCGCGAGGCAGGCTCCGCAGGAGCGCTGGCAAGCACGCGCAGTGCTGAAACCCATCGGAGAGAGCCTGTTCAACGCCAAGATGGAAGCCGATGTCAACAATATTCGCGAGGGCAGCGAGTGGGAACCGAACAAAGTCGACCCGACCAGCATCCCACAGGTGCTCGCGATGATTTACGCGGCGCTGGAAGCGACAGGCGGAGCAGCAATCGTCGGAGAGCCTCCGCCCTCGGCGCTCGAGAGACAGGTAAAGAAGTTTGCCCGGCAGCGCCAAGGAACCACGGCGTGGACGCATAATCATTCCCTTGCCAGGCACAGTTGGGCAGTGTGACAGCAGCAGGATCACTTCGGCGCCTGGGCGCCGACTGAATGTTCAGGGCGGGGGGCAGGGCGAGGTTTCTCTTCGCTGTGCGCAGCGAGCCTCTGGCCGGGCCAGAGGTTCCAGCGGAGATGCAGCAGTCTCCTGCGACGCGGGGAATGCTCGTACGGAGGCTTTGTCGCCGTAGGCTTCAGGCCTTGCCGCCTGTCCGCTTCGCTGCCGCTGCCCCGCGGGATGCCCCCCTGGCGCCTGGTCTCGCTCCCCTCGGACCTCGCCCCCCCCCTCTCCGTGGCTTCCCGGTCTGGCTTGCGGAGGCGTTTCGGGGCGTGGGCTGCTGCGGCAGATCGGCATCTCTCATGCCCGAGAGTAGGCGCCGCCCACATGACCTTTTGGGACGGGCGAGGTGCGAAAGGAGAAGGGGGGTGGGGGGCGGAGAGAGATCAGTTTGCAGCGGCCACAACTCGTGAGAGTTCCGAGGGGTCACGCGCCTGTCGCCTCTCCCGAGTGCGGCGGGGACGCGCCACAGTGCGATAACCGTTCACCCGCCCCGTGCAAGAAACACTTCGGAGGGACTCGGCCCAGTGTCGACGCGGGCCCGAAAGGCTCAATAGGCCATGGGTCCCGCAAGCTTCCCCCTGCAAGGCCAAAGTTCAATCGAATAGAGCCTCGCTTCAGCGTCGAGACAAGGGGTCATATAAATGCCGAGGCGTCCTCTTCCTCCTCCTCCTCCTCCTCCTCCTCCTCCTCCTCCTCCTCCTCCTCCTCCTCCTCCTCCTCTTCCTCGTCCTGATCATCCTCCTCCTCCTCTTCTCTCTCGTTATCCATGTCTCTCTCTCTCTTGTTCTCTCTTTCTCTCTCTGGCCCAGCTCGGCGCAAGTTCGCATCGCTGGCTCAGCCCCGTTGTGTCGCTGCGCACCGATGCCGCGGGCGACGTGCGCGCGTGGCCGAGGGGCTGCTGCGTTCAGCTGTCGCAGCGCTCGGTTTTCGGAGGCAGCGCCTGTGCCGGCACCTGCGGGTGGTTTGGCGGCGCCTCGGCGCCGACGCAAGGCGGCGCAGGCAGCGTGTCGGCACCTTTCGTATTTCTTAATGTTTGCGGCGGCGGGCTTGGCGCTAGCGGTGGAGGTGGTGGAAAGCCGCGGCATGGCGATCGACGAGTCCTCCGACGAGCTCAATTATTTGCCGCCGCGTCGAACGGGCATGTGCAAGGACGAGGAGAAGAGCACAGGCACGCCCACCATCTCACCCAAAGTTCGTGTTCGATTCGCCCGTGGTTCTGTGTCGGGCTCGGAGGCGGCGGTCATCAGCGTCGGGGGTCGCACACACCACAGGTCCGCCCCCTCGGCGATTCGGCGGGGTTGGCGAGGGGCTGGCTATGGAGGCCCAATTGGACTTCCTGCAGCCAGAACCGCTGGATCTGGCAGGAGGTTGTGGCTGCAGGGGGCTGTCGGGGGCCTCACCGCTCTACGATGCAGGGCCATTGTCCCTAACTGGATTTCCTGGAGCTGGAGCCGCTGGATCTGGTCGGGTGTGGTGGCTGTGGGGGGCGGCAGGGGGCTTCGCCGCTTTGCGATGCAGCCTCACCGTCCCCAACTGGACTTCCTGGAGCCAGAGCCGCTGGATCTGGCGGGGTGTGGTGGCTGTGGGGGCGGTAGGTGGCCTCGCTGCTTTACGATGCAGGGCCAGTGTCCCTAACTGGACTTCCTGGAGTTGGAGCCGTGGTGGCTGCGGGGTGGTGGTGTCTGCGGGGTGGTGGTAGCGCCGCTTTACGATGCAGGGCCACTGCCCCGAACTGGAATACCTGGAGCCGGAGCCGCTGGATCTGGCGGGGCGTGGTGGCAGTGAGGGGCGTCAGAAGGGGTTAGAACGAGGACAAATCTGTTCCAGAGCATTCTGGAGCGCTTTCAGAGCGTTCCAGAACGCTCTGAAAAGGCCGCGGCGCCCGACACCGACACATTCTCCCGAGCAGCCAGATCTCAGATATTCTAGAGTTATCGTCACCCGATGTGATCCTCGCCGTGGTTTCGTCGTAGGGCGACAGGGTGCCTCGCCGCTTTGCGATGCAGGGCCACCGTCCCGTCGCGTTCGGCGCGCTCGTTTTCCATGCCGCTGTGTTTCCCGAGGCGTGCTCGGTGGCAGGGCGCGCTCTCGTGGGCCCGCGCGTCCCGCGCGTGTTCTCTGTGTTGTTCGCTTCCGGTGGCCTGCGCCATTCCGCCGGCCCCCCGGAAGGAGTCAGGGCTTGCGATGGTCGTGGAAGTTATCGAAGGCGCCTACGGCGAATCACCGCCCCCGTGCCTTCCG